AAACAGCAGGTAACTGATAGCAAAGACTCTTTCCACCACCTGTAGGCATTACAAGAAATATATCCTTTCCTGCCATTGCAGCATTTACTGTTTCAAGTTGCAGTGATCTAAACTTCTGGAGGTTAAACTTGCTCTGCAGTGCTGTTTTGATCTTCTCATACCAGGGAAAATCTGTCACGGAAAAAAAAATATAGAACTTATTATGCTAAAATACAGAAAACAAAAGTAACTTCCATATACAATAACTACTTCTGAAAGTAGCGCAGTTTTACAATCAAGGAAAAACTACACACATACACTAAGCCTGTATAAATTAACTTCTGTAAGATGTACCATCGAGAAACAAATCAAAATGTACACACAATCCTCTTTTCTAAAGACTTCCATTTCATTTAAGTGTGAAGTCACGCTAGCCACTCTTCATATCAATAAAATCAAAATACAGAAAGACTGTGGGAATTCCATTCCATATTGCTTGCAATGCAAGAATTAACTTTAAGGTTTGAGGTAATATTGCTTCCTCGTTTATAAGGATCATAGCGAAGATCCAAAAGTCCTTTGAGGTCAAGGAAAGCTTCCCACTGACTTCAGTCAAGCTTGGACTCGGGCCAAATTTAGCTATTCTGCTTACTTAATACATACACATGCAGAATCTGATTGAAAAGATGATAGTTCTCTAAGCATAGAAAAATAGAGTTAGGCATGAAGTCACTTCACCAAAATCAATCTGTTCAGTATCACCAATATGCAATTACAAAGTAGCAGTATATGTTAGCTGCACATAAAACTTTTTCAAACAGAAATATGAGTTAAACTACAACTTTCATTTCCCAAAAAAGTGGGGGAAGGGAGGAGATGCACACAATAGCTACAGACAGAAACTAAAGCAGCACTTCTGAAATGCAAATAATGTGAAAGAGAAGGGAGTAAAAATAATCAAAAAGAGAAAAAATCTGAACTGAATTTGGCTACAGACAAGACAGCAAAGGATCACCAGCCATCCATGGCTTCAGTTACATTTCCTTTGAAAGGCAGCACATGCAAAAGAAGAGCAGCCCTCAAATGACTACAGGGCACTTTTTTCAGCTTGGCACAAATTTGCTTCACTCTCCATTATTTTGGCAGACAGCATTCACCTAATATGCCTCATTGAGTAAAATGTCAGAGCTACAGCACACCAGTGTTCCACCCATTCACACAGGAAGAACCACAGACATTAAGAAGAAAACTAGCTATAGCATGATAGCTAGATTTACTCTGTTTCTTCCAGCAAACCTAGTCCAATTGTGACACTGCAACCAGAAGAGTGTCAAAGTGGTTATAAGAAACTGGTCACAACTCGCGGTCATTCTGGTCATAACTCTTCCTGGAAGAGCTCAGATTAGCCTTCAGGAGCGTCTAAAGAGGCAAGATAAACATTACACTGTGTAGGCAAGATGGTAAGCCAGGTGTTCCTCAACTGAAAAAAAATTGAAATGGGACAATATCTTTCTCCAAATAGATTCTAAATAAAAGCATGTTTGGTCTACTGGATTAGATTACCTCCATGCTACAATACTTGAATTTGACTCTGCAAACCTTTTTTGTTCCAAGTCTCTGCTGAGTTTTCAGTGCCTTCACTTCCCCCAGCCTCCGAGTCTTCTGAGGACTGTTTTATCAGCCTCTTCAGCACCATCTTCTTATGGATGAGTTCCTGCTGCTTTTCCAGAAGCTCCTGAATCTGCATCTCCACAGCTTGCAGCTCACTTTCAACGGAAACCAGTTCTTCCTCCAGTACTGAAGGGAAAAGCAAGATAAAGCAGGGAGAAACTGTAGTAACCTGCTAATCACACCTTTAAGTGGTACCATATTTTAAACCAAATTAAACAAACAGCAAAAGCATCTAGAAAAAAAATGATAAGCATACTGATAGGACCACAGCATCTAATCTCTGTATTTATCATGTAAACATACCTACAATAAGGCTTATTTGTTAGCTTAGGAAGTCATATATACTGTAAACTGTCACCTGTGCTGTAGTGTGTAAGAGATATGCAACAGTAATGGTTAGTACAGGATAGGGTAGGTAAATAAAATAAATAAAACCACATCACAGTCTAGTTCTCCCCAAAGCATTATCCCTCCTCTGAAACACTTGCAAGTATTTTTCCTGCAGATGTATACGGAGCTAGGAAAAGCATCTAATCTTCAGTACTACATTAAAGCAGAAAGAGGTCAAATGAACACAAGAGAGTACTTGTCTGTTCCACAGTGAGCACAACAGCAGCCAATTTTTAGTTGAGATTATTTACATGTGAAGCAAAATTAATCTCAACAAATAATGATCATTTAAAGATAGAAGAAGGGACATTAGCTAAAAAAAATAAGCTTTGTGTTCTCCATGACACTAGGTCTTTCTTCTGTGCAGGACCAGAAGAGCTGCATAGTGTCAAGGCTTGGACACAGAAGGCAAGAGCTACAGCTCTTCAGACGAAGCGGGAAAGGCAGGATTTTACCTGAAGCAGCCGGTACAACTAGAGACGAAAACAAAGACATATATTTGGGGATGAGAGGGAAGCTACCTCCCCTTCCCTCTCCTCCTCCTCCAAAAGCTCACTTGCAGGCTAGCTTGTGTTCACCAAAGCTTTTCTTCCTATCTGAAATAGTACAAGCAAATACTCCCAAGAAGTTAAAGTTGTCTAAGTAAGTCTATGTCAGAAATTTGTCCCTCTACATCCTTACATGCATCTGTGTGAATTACAGATTGCACAGAATTCAGCAGAAATAAATGCCTTGAGTTAAAAGTGTTTTAATAGATTACAGTTCACACAATGTCACATGCATACCACTATTTCAAAGCCCACAGGCATACGAAGAAATTATTTCAAAATAGAGTCTGGTACAAATATAGCAGATACAGAAATTCTCACAAATGGCAGCAAAAACATACTGTATTCAAAAGGACATACACATTAGAAATTATACAAAATATGGACATTTGTCTTTCAAAGTGCCCACTGTTACACCAAAGGAAAAAGCCGAGAGTGTTTTAAAATATGAAGCACTTTAAAATATTGAAACCCTTGTAACTTCCTAAACACTTCTACTTTAACTTATATCTAAAACACAAAAAGGTATCCAGCAAAAAATGTATTTTATTTCAAATCTGAAATTAAAACAACAAAGATCCCAGTAACCCTTTTCTGTATAAGCTAAATCCAATAACATAGGACGGTTTTGTCTGTTCCCTAGATGACAGGTATACAACAAACAAACAAATCCATACACTGAATACCAGTTTCGAATTACCTGCGACAGCTGCCATTTTTGAAGACTGGAGAATCCTACCCTTAGTCGACCGCAGTTAACCAGGCAAGTCTCACTAAAATACAAAAATAATAGTTTTCATTAATAACCCTGCTGAACTCAGAACACATAACAGACTTTTCAGTACTACTACTTTAAGCATTAATTTAACATGTTAAGTACCGCTTCATTTAACCTGTCCATATAAACAGAAGATTCCAAAGTCTTTCAAATGAAACCAAATGGATTTAGATCAAGAATTGCACTTTACCAAGTCTTGCCCTTGCTTTCTACCAGAAAAAAACGTTTACTATTGATCAGGCATCTACCTACAGTAGCCCTGCATTTTTCCCTAAAGATTATTTTATAGAAAAGTCACGAAAAATTATATTGTGCCCATTAGAGAAATAGCTACCACCTAGAGGATGTTCTGGAAGGAATGTGAAAGTTAATTTGGGAGACTTCTTTTGATTACATAACCAGCGAAAAAGTCTTAAAATTCTATTCACTGGGTTTATTTTTGAACTTCACCCATCATGACATCACGTGTTAATAACAAAACCGCACAGCTCGATATCCTCTCCCACTCTTACAAAGTTCTGGACAGATGCATTACTGATGCACTAGCTAAATTTTAGGCCACGTGAAAGAGAACAAAACCACTGGCTCTCACTAGAAACTGATCCCAACATAAAAAGAAATGTTTCTCTCTCTCTATATATATATCACTATATATCTATATGTACACATATACACACTATAGATATATACACACACGAAAGTGCAAGTAAAACATTGAATTTGTGAGAAGTTGTAGATACAAAATGAGGGAAAAGCCCACACTTCAGAGATTCACAGAGCACCTCACTGTGCCCGAGGATAAATCAGTGGCGCACAAGCCTCACGCAGCCCACAGTGCTTATTCTAGGTGCACAGGACTCTCCCTCTCGCGGCATTTGCCAAGACAGCTCGAGAAGCCTAAGCCTTTTTGTTTGTTTGTTTGTTTTCTTGATCCAAAGACTGGTAAAAGGAGGCGAATTACCTGGGAATGCCTCCACATAGTCTATTAAGGCTCCACAAGCCTTTAACGTGGATACTGCCCCCGCAAGCGGAAATTCAGCATCCCTCATGACCGATCCCGCATTAGCACTGCTGGCAAACGCCCTCATTATTTGATTCCCCCAAAACTTATCTGCGGAGAGACTTAAGAGGCGACATCACGCACCGCGAGCAGGCAAAGGGCACGGAGAAGCATCCTCGACGACGAGGCAGTTTTCGCCGCGCTCCTCCCACGCGCCGACGCCTCCGGCTAACGGTTTCTGCGCCCTGGCCAACGGTTGCTGCCAACGGTTGCTACCCCCACCGTCCCCAACGGTTCCCCCCAACCCGCCGCCCCGGCGCAGCCGCTTCCGGCCCCTCTCAGCCAATCACCACGGAGGAAGGCGCGCAACGCCCGCGCCCGGCTAGTTCTGATCCCGCGCGGCTCCCGTCGGCCGCCCCGAACGCGGAGAGGCAGGAAGGGGGAAGGGAGGGCCCGTCACGCGAACAAGCCGCGCGCTGAGTGGCCGCGGCGCCGCCAATGGGCGCGCAGCTTTCACGCGGCGGCGAGGCGAAGGGGGCTGCGTGTTTCCGGAAGACGTGGCCGTTGCCGCCGCCGCCGAAGCCGTTACGGCCGTTAGCCGGTCCCCGGCGCCCCCTCTTCCTCCTTCCCTAGCCCCGCTCCCGGCCCCGCCGCCGCCATGATCTCCCTCACGGACACGCAGAGTAAGCGCCGCCCGCTGCGCCCCGGCAGCCCGCGGGGAAGGGGGAGCGGGGGCGGCCGGGGCCTCCCGCCGAGTCGGTTAGAGCCGTTGGGCGGGCGATTCGGGAGGAGGGTGTCCGCGCCGCCCTCGTGCTTCCCCAGCGTGCCCTCCTGTGGGCGTGGAGGGGCCGGTCTGGTCGGTTGGGCACCGGTGGTTTCCGTGCCCCGCTCCGGGCTCGCTGTTCTCGTGCTGAACCTGCTCGGTGCTTGTTCTGGGGGCTCCGCAGGTAGCACAGGGAGATGCCGTGCGCGGATAGTACCGAAAGAGGCTCTGTGCTTGTAAAGAAAGGCTGAAAGGGGTGGTTAAGGCTGCTTCCCAAACAGATAACTAACTATGAAAGCTAGTAGAGCAGGTCCATTGAAAGGCTTGTAAAGAGAGGCCTGAACACCCATTTCAAAGTAGTAAAAGAGCTTGGAGCTGATTTTTTTAAAAAAAAAAAGTCTTTTAAAAGTCTTTTTTAAGTAGAAGTAATCAGAGTTAGAGATGATGAAGGGGAAAATGTAAAGGCATCAAAGTAAAGAAACTTAGGAGAGTTTAAGCAGCAAAGGAAAAGAAAATGTTAGGTCTTTAATGCCCTGGATGACAGGAAGAGAAGTAAGTCTGGTTAGTAAGCACTGTGGTGTCACCTGCAAAGGAGGGTAATTGCAGAAGCTGTAGAAAGGAAGGTTTGTGCCCACCTTGATAGTGGGACACTGGGAACAGAGCACTGGGAACAGAGGTATTGTAGAGACCAGCCAGGACAAAGGATGGAGACAGAGTATGGGGAGACTCACAGCATCTAATGGAAATGTCATGCTGAGAAATCCAGGGATCAGGTCCTATGACTTGGATGAGCAAGAACATTTAGGGTTCATTGTAGGCTTCTGACTGATAAGTCATTGTGGGCTTTGCTGTTGCCCATTCCCCTCTCAAGGTTTTTGGACTAGTCAAGGGAAAAAGAAACATTTCTTTAGTGCCTTGTCAACTCCTACCAAATCCTTTGCTGACTCCATTCATTTTAACTTTCAGAGCAAAGAGTAGTAATTAAAATACTTTGGGTTTTTTCTTTAATTTCACAATATTTTGTTTGTTTGTTTTTCCCCCAAAAAAATCTGGAGATGAATCTTCAGCTTCTCTGACAAGGTTCTGTCTAGAAAAAGTATAGGTTTGACAATACATTCGTTCCTTGAGCTAGCATGATAAAGATCCAGAGAAGTTTACTGCACTAGTGGACATTTGGAAGACTTAATTTGCAAGTGCATAGTCTAGAAATTCTTGTAATGATTTGTTGGATAGAGTGGTAAATGATCAGGAAGCGCAAAAGAAGACAGTTTGTCTTTAGCAAATTGATTTTTAAAGTTCTGTTTTGAAATACAGCTCCTAAAATGCTACCTTTGTGCTTGGAAAAAAAAACCTTTTGAGAACATATAAGCTGCAATAAATTTTGTTTTCTGAAAGTTTATAAGATATAATTTCCTTCACTTTTTGTAGAAAAGTGTGCAGTTGTTTTCATTGAGCATAAAAAATACCACCATATTCGAAGAGTTAAAGCAGTTGTTGTTTTCTGATAGTAGAGAAGATAGAGATGTTTTGGGGCAGAGGAGTATTCTTTTAAGTTCTTTTGAACATTTTCTATCTAGTGCTGCAGTACTCCTGCACAACTTAGTGAATTCCCACAGAAGCATTGAGGAAAGCATTGCTCTCTCCTCTCAGTAAATCTCATATATGTATGTGATAATATACACACACACACACATATATATATATACTTTCAAAGAGTAAATGTCACATAAATAGGAAAGCTCTTCTGGTGCCAGAGAAGTCATTTCAAAACAGTTCTCCCCCTTTCAAAATTAAATTAGTTCATTTGCAAAGGTGATGTATAATTGACTGAGTGCGTGTATGTTCTCTTTCTCTAATAATGCTGATTAAATATTGTTCTTACATCACAAAACTTGTTCATTTTAGTAACATGCATTTCTGTTTTTCAAAATCCTGATACAAACCAGGCCAGTAACATTCTTATCCTAATGAGAATAGTAGGAATTCTCTGCTGTAGGACAGCAACAGTAGTTCTAGGCTAGTCTCTGTTAGCAGCAGTTTTGGGATGATGAGAACAGTAGCACGTTCCCCAGTACGCCTCCAGTAACCAGGAAGTGTTGTTGACTTTTAGCCTGAATCTTTTTAGCAGGAGTTTATTGTAAATGTGTTGCAAGTAAACACAGGAGGACTGTTAGAGTGGTAGCTGGAGCAGCTGTGGAGAGCTGGCCTTTGCTGCTGCATGTGTGATATCCCCACTTCATGCTATGTCTGAGGGAGGAGTGAATTTTCAGTTCTCACGACTGTGTATTTATCTCATTGGCAGCTGGTCATTCCTCTGGAGTGCTGCCTGCAGGCATTTTCCTTCCAGAATGCAGATTGCTTCTCCTCTTGCTGTTAGAACAGAGTTAGAAGATGCATAGCAAAGCTTTAAGGCAGCAGCTGATCTCATAGAATTACAGAATCAACAGCATATGGTCTGCAGCATTCCTGAAATGTGAGCCCTTAGAAAAATTAGGGAAGTTGGAATGTTGCTTTAACCAGTCCCTTTACCACATTTTTGAAAATTTTTGCTCTAACTGAATGAAAGATCTGGAATAGGTAGAACAGAGTTCTTACTCCAGAGCTTCTCAAACAAGATTAAATGATGAAGTATATATATGTTGCAGTCAAACATGCAACTGAAATACATCTAGGTGTGTTTGTTCTAGCTTTAATAAATAGGATTTTTGTTTGGTTTTTTTTTTTTTTGATTTTTTTCTCCAATTTAGACTGTACAAGACTACTGGCATTGCAATAGTCTGTTGCTTGGCTAACTATAGTGCTGTTGCTGCTTATGAGAGCCGTTTTTATACATGTTGCAGGTTGTGAAACATTCCAACCACAAAAATGGAATGTTTGCCCTGAGTACATGGAAAAAGATTTTTGCAACTCCATTGTTATTCCTGTGATGTCTGGTATTGTAAGGGTCAAAGGCTGCCCTTAGAGGTTTAATTTTAAGAGTAATGTGTATTTGAAAACTGAGTCCTTGATACGTCTCGTGCATTGCTTTAATCATAGCGCGAAGTTTCTAGTTTCGTAGACAAGCAAATCTTTCATGCTACTTGTCCCTTCTTAATAGTTCCTGAGAAACCTTCACAGATGGGCAGAAGCCTCAAAGATGCTTGGCATCCACAAGCTTGGTGCCTACAGCGTTAACATTGGTCTCTTCTAATCCAGAAGCTGCAGAAAAAGGGATTATTCTGGTTATGTGAGGCACAATGTCTTACATGAGGTCTCAGTACCCCATCCTTTTCAGCCTCCTGGGGTTACTGCAGTGCTCGTGAAGGGACAGGAGATAAAAGGGGAAGCAAAATTTAATTGTCTGTTCACAAAATTGTCTTATGTTCAGAGATATTGGCTGTAAGTATAGTTGATACAAGATTTCATTGAAGGCACACTCATGTCTCTGCTATTGAAGTAACTGGAGTCTATTACACTTGCTTGAATTGTGTAATTGGATGATTTTAAGTAGTTGTAAAATATACTGTCAAGTTCTTCTACAAGTTTAGAATTTCTATAGATTGCATATTCTGAGTTTTTTTCCATAGTTACTTACATGATTTTTTTTTTTGTGGTACTGTGCTTTGTTAAATACCAAATTGTGCTTTTTTTTTTTTTTTTTTTTTTTTGGCAGAGATTGGAATGGGATTGACAGGCTTCGGAGTGTTTTTTCTTTTCTTTGGAATGATTCTCTTCTTTGACAAAGCTCTTTTGGCTATTGGAAATGTAAGTATCTGCTGTTCAGTTTTCGATTCTGCATTGTTTAGGATGAAGTATTTTAAAAAAAAAAAAAGTAGAAAAAATATACTTGAAAATTTAGGCTGTGTCAGAGAAAATTGTAGCAGTTTGATATAAAGGAAGAGCTCGATTTGAGTGAATCATTTTTCCTGATGAAAGTTGGAGCAGTTCATATCAAGATAAATATAATACCTTTAGGTAAAGCCTGAAACAGCAGCTGTTTTGCAGTTGCCACACTGCTGCAAATAAGATCTTAAGATTGATGCTTTTTTTACCTCTGCTCTTGTAAGATAAGTCAGATAATTTGAGTACATATACCTTGAATAAGAGCACTAAAGCCTCTGTACACTCTTAAATGTAGTCATGCTCCTAATGAGGAAAGAAGCATGAATTCTTCTTAATCAAGGTTTTAGAAGATCTGTTCATTCTTTATAATAGACAACTTTAATCTTCGGTGTTTACCAAATTAAATCTTCACTCAGAGCAGGATAAAAATAAATCTTATTTCTGGTACACAAAATTCTCAGAGGAAAATAAATGTAAAACTATTTTTTTCTAAATTTGACAGCTTTGCACCTCTGCTGTTCTTGGCTTTGTCAGCCAGCCAAAGAGCAGAGCCTGCTAGAGGCTTTCAGCTGCATTGCTGCTGCTGCTGAAGTATCTGTGGGGAGAGATGAATTTTGTTCTTCATCTCTTCAAGAGAATGCGATACTGAGAGTCACTGCAGGAAAATCCCAAATGGATATATGAATCTGGGTGCAGTCCTCGAAGCAGTGTTCTGAGCCACCAGTGGAGGAGGGAGAGGGAGGGAAAGGGCCAGTGATGCGCGTGAGCGGGAGGGAAAGAAAGAAAGCAGTGAAAGGCTACCCTGTAACCAAGGTTAATCAGGGAAAGATACTGTATCCTTACAGAAACTAAAGCAGTTTATTCTTAAATAACATGCAAGCTTTACATGTTAATTTTGAATCACATGTGAAATTGTTGCCCAGTTGCACACCTAGAGGGTGCAGTGATCACAACTCCTGTAGCTGAAGGATACTTGAAGTAGTTTCAATTAGTGTGCACCAGCTTGACGTTCAGTTGACGACCCACTGTGTTCAGCCTGTAGTGGAACTAGTCATCATTGTAACTAGAAACGTTGTTACACAGATTAAAATGTATATATAATACAAGGATGACGAACTCATAATGGTCTTGAGTTTTTTGTTCACCAGTTATTTTTGAACATTGTGCACTAGATCAGTACAAGTTATGTAAATTTCCGTGCTACAGAGTAGACTTACGTGTCTTACTGTTTTTCCATTCCTAGAAGCCTTAACTTACAGGTACTAAGCTTCAGCTCTGCCTGGAGACAGTGGCAGTGCTTCTATTCTAGGATAGATGAGCGTTGTCATCAGGCCTTCAGACATGCCCGTACTTGTCAGGCAACAGTCCGCATTTATGGGCTCTGTTTTCAAAGGAGATGCGAGGAGGTTTTTGAATATTAGCTACAAATGCTCAATGGACACCACAAAAGAAAATCACTACTGAATTCCTCCTTGCCATTAGTCTTGATATTAAACGAAGCTATGCAAGAAATAAAATGTGGTATTGAAGAATGGTTATATATGTATTTATGCTTTACATTGTAAATTTAGAAATATAATTAATTATTTTCTTTGGTTGCTTTTTGTGTCTTCTAGGTTTTATTTGTGGCTGGCTTGGCTTTTGTTATTGGTTTAGAAAGAACATTTAGATTCTTCTTCCAAAAGCACAAAATGAAAGCAACGGGCTTTTTCCTGGGTGGTGTGCTCATAGTTCTTATTGGTTGGCCTTTGATAGGAATGATCCTTGAAATTTATGGGTTCTTCCTATTATTCAGGTAAGACATGTTTCAAAGTAGGTTTTTATATTGGTGTATTTAGGAATAATTGTTTTTGTCTAGTTTTGCAACATCACAGCTGGCAAAATAGAAAATGATGAATGTTCACTTTAATAGCTATTATATAATACTATAGATTTACAGTTGCAAGAGGTGGAAATCTTTTAAGTATTGCTTAAGACTCAAATCTGCTGAGGTGAGTGAGGCAGGCATAAAACTGTTTTTTTGATGTTGTGTATATCTAACCAAAATAACTGTAAAGCCCCAAAATATCGGGGAACCCAAACTGTTAGCAGAGCAAAATTTAAATGCTACCTCACAGAAAGGCAACTTAAATACTGAGTATGCTTTGTTCACGGAAGAGATGCTTTTTAATAAATGAGGCAAAACACTTATTACCTGCATTCTGTGTAGGACAAAAAAGACAAATGAAACCAGGTTTCTGTAATGTTTCATTTTCTTATGCCCTAATATATTTGCAATGTATGAGATACGCATCCGTGGTTATGGATATAGTTAAATAGAGCTAGTTAAATATTGTAAACAGCATTATAGATGCATGTTATCTGATACAAGTCACTTCTGCTTTGGCCACTAGTGGTGAATGAATTTGTTGTGGGGCAACCTAAATATGGATATATATTTCTGGAAAAGAAAGCAGGAAATGCATGTTGGATTTTTTCAATGATTTTAGAACTTCTAATCAGATGAACACTATTCCATTTTAATTCTCATTAATCTATTCTAAGACTCATTGATTTTTTCAATGTTCAACTGCTAGAAAAAAACAGTTTTTCCTTATCAAAATATTGTTTTCATCACTTCCTCTCTCAAAAAAATGAAAAATACTGAGTTTTTTAAATATTTATTTTTCTAAAAGTATTCATCTTAACTTGATTCCTGCTGGAGACATGGTGAGGCTTCAGAAAATTCATCTTGCAGTTATAATCACATGGATTGCAAGGACGTTTATGTGGGAATCCTTTGCACTGAACAGGAATTCCAGTTAGCACTTCCAATAATTTTACTTGGGATAGACTAACACAGTGCAAAAGATAAAGTGTGCTGTACTATTTTCAGCCCCTTGACTGCAGACTACTGAAGCATTTTCACCAGGTCTTCAGATCTCTCTGGAGCTGTTACTTACAGGTTTTACATATAGATTGTTACTCTGTCTGCCCAGGCTGCTTTGCAGAGTTTCCTTTCGAAGATCTGTTAGAGGTAATTGCAGAGCCTAGTTGTGCCCAAAGCAAAGGTTAGGAAGTAGCGAGTAGCAACTAAGGACACTCAAATAAACAAAAAAAATTGCAAAGATTTTTTTTTTTTTTAGATGCATCTGGCCTAAGTAGAAAAGATTCCCAATTATTATGCCTCAGTGGTTTAAATCTAGCCTGATTTTTCCCATGCTGTCTTTAACTTGTTGCCAGAATATTTCTCATCAGAGATTCTCTCCTTGGCAGTACTTTGACATGCCCAGATTGCCTATGCTGGGGAACAATGTTATGGGACAGGATTTCTTGCTATATCCCAAGCTCCTTTTCAAAGCCTCATTCAAATTACAGGGGTCTAAAGTTATGACTGAAAATATTGTCCCACCTATTATGACTGTTCTGAATTTTGGTGCACACAAATTCTTTTAGTTGGATAGATGTGGCTTGTCTATCCTGCATCACAATTTACTGGACCACTTAAATGATCCAGTCTTTAAGGAAGACTCCAGGAGGCAAAAAAAAAGATTGTTTTGAGATTGTATGTCAAATAGTCCTCATCTCTCAGTGCAGGAGAGAAATTGGTGAATTGTGCAGTTTCAGTGTTCACATGTGGCTGTGGTTCTCTTGCATGTTAATGCTTATGCTGTGCAGGGGATCTGTAGCTGCGAAAGAGATAGCGCTGAGTGCCAGCACCAGCTGAACTGCTGCAGCTCATTGCAGACAGCTGAGATGCTCCCATAGGGGATTCTTAGTTCTGCTGCAGAAATGAGGAGAACAGTGATGGAGAGGCTAGGAGCTGTCCCAGGAAACATCCCCTGGTTCATGAATCAGACTTTTCACTTTCTGTGAATTTGTCAAATAAGTTAATATTTACTTTTCAAATTAAGTACATAAGTCGTGTGCTTTGTTTGGCTTCAAAGAGAATTAATTGTGAATCATTTTAGTGATTTTTTTTTTCATTGGATATTGTAACATTGTTCTTCCCATAACACAGAATCAAAGGAGCTCAAATATCCATGTCCCAGGTGTCCATGATAATTAAATCGGTGTTTGAGCATGAAAAGGTTTGGTTTTTTTTTAATCTCAATATGTGTGGGAGTACTGGAGGATGAGTTTGGAAATGTTAATTCTGTTGTCTAGGTTGGATATTGATTCCTTAGTGGTCAGCCTTCCCCTGGAGTTGTTAGTTATGAAATCAGGTTCGTTTGAAAATGCACTGTCTTCTGTTCTTTTTTTGCTGAATGCTTATTCATATATTGGGTAAAATTAATTTGCTGTCAGTAAGGTACAGAATTTTTAGTGTAATCTTGGTTTTAAAAACCTCAACTCATTCAAACATGAGGATTGTTTAATTCTAAACTTACACTGTCATCTGCTGTCTTTCTTCCAGGGGGTTCTTTCCTGTGGTGGTTGGCTTTATTAGAAGAGTTCCAGTCCTTGGCTATCTCTTGAATTTACCTGGTATAAGCTCGGTATGTGTTGGGTAGTTAATGCAAAATTTGAAACTGTCACTGTGTTTTAATCCATTCTAATGGGTGCAGTAGTATAAATACTTCAGAAATAACACAAATGCAACTTTAGAGCAATGACACTGAATGCATTCTTGTGGAGTTCGTGCACCATGTGGTTCTGGTTAATTCCACTTACAAGATTCTTACATGCCTGGAAATGAAACCTTTGCAGAAGCTGCCCCTGCCACAGTGCTGTCAAACAAAAGGGCCCTGCACAGTGATTCAGAAAGCTGGATGTTTGCTTCTTGCTTCACTGTTGGCCCTAAAAGACGGTGGGTGATTCTTGCCATCTTTCTGTCCTTCTCCTGTCTGTAAAATGAGAAGGATGCTGGTCTCCTTTGTCGAGCACTTTGATTTATTTTTGAAAAAATGGCCCAGAAGAGCAAAGAACTAAGCACTGCAGCCTGTATGGGGAACCCAGAAATTCTCCTGATGCATAATCCATTACCAACTGCAGTGTTTACTCAGGTCCACTGCACCAAACTAGATATTGCTATTTATTGAGCTCTGTAATTTTTCAAGTGCAGTTTTCCACTTTCTTAACCAAATAGCCAGGAAACTGAAGAAAATTTAAAGGTGCTAGGAAGATGGTTGTCTAGGATTTTTGGTCAACTACTTTTACTGTGCTAATTTCTGTATGTACTTTAACACAAGAGTTTTTACCCTTGATCTTGTAAGCTACAGATTAATAACCACTACATGAAAATTACTGGAGGGTACAACCAAGCTGTATACAGATTGTTTTGTTTTTTTTAATTAGTGTTCAAGATGATCTTTTCCACTCTTTCAGTTTGAGCCATGTTCTGGCTAACAAATCCTGATCAATTGAATGTTTGCTTGTCAATTGATCTTACCTACACACGTTTAATTTGACCATAATGGGGTTAAATCTTGCTTCAAAAAGATAATTGTTAATGTTTTATTCAAAGCCTACGTAGGCTCAGAAGAGAATCCACAGTAATGGTCAGTTGAAATATCTTATTTGGTCCACTACTGCATGTGCGGCTGATCCTGTATCGTTTTGTTTTGATCATTAAGCTAGCAGTGGTCCTGGCATTCTTCTATTTCCTTTTCCATTCTGTTGCATTTTCATGTTGCGCTGTTAATGTCGATATGAGAAAACATGTCATGCAGAAACACGGTTGCAATGTAAGATTTTTAATTTTCACAAACTTTAAATTTCATGAGACCTCGGTGAGTACTACTTGATTGCCATTATCAGTCACATACTAACTGTGCACAAGTAGCAAGCTATATTTGAGACTAATTTCACTGTACATATGTTATGCAACTTTGAACTTTTTCTCTCCTTTTCTACAGCTTGTAGACAAAGTTGGAGAAAGCAACAACATGGTATAATGACAAGAGGGCGGAAGACTGATTCTAAACTTATTGTATTATTTATAAAAATCCTTTTGAAGAATACTCGACACAAAGATTAAGTTGTGTACAAAGGAAAAGCTTGTAACATTCTTTACATAACAGTTTAATTTAAAATGTATAGTTGACAATGTACATTAGAAACGAAGCTCAGCAAGTGTGCTTCTAGGAAAAGTAACTCCAGAGTTCAGGAAATAAACCGAAGAGGTGAAAGTCATGGAATAACCCATGCTACAACTGTACAAGACTTCTTGTTGTTTTTTTGGAGAACATGCTAGCTGTGGAATTAATGGTGCCTGTAGTTTTCCTCCTTATTTTGAAGGTGCAGTAGAACAAACAGGCCTGCCCTTTTTAAGGGTGACACCAACTTATCCAACCCTCTGCTTGCTACCCTCAGAGTCAAAATACAAAAAAAAGGCAAAAAAACTTCTTGTGTAACAAGAGATGTGTCTTTGTGTGAAAGTTAGGATGACTATTCATCTTGAATCGTATTATGACAGAAAAAAGGAAATCCCACAAGGTTCTGCTGTAAATCTTTTTTGTAAATATGAGGCTGAAATAAAACATTGTTATCTTAATGTTTCAAAGCCAAACATAAGTTGATTGTATTTGATTTCCATTTTGGAATCTGCATAATGTCAGTCTTAAGTGTGGGCTCTGAACGTGCAGATTGCAATAAGCAGCTCTGGAGACTGACTTACACTCCTTCCAGTTTGTTCTCCTTGAGTCGTGTTACACGTGAACGTCCTGGTGAGAACGTAGCCCTTTTCACTGGCAGGAAAGCTTCGTGAAATACGCTTAGTTCACAAGAAGATGCATTTGGCTAAGGCGCTGATGTGGACCCTGTGAAATGTATCTTATCAAAATATGAACATTTCTTTTTAAATTGTTTGGAGCTAAGGTTTCCTTGTTTACCCTGGAACTACAAACTGAAGATTTTATTTTTTACAGTAATAAAATGAAAACATAAAATTCTGTTTATGTGAGTCTCTGGGAAGAAAATTGATCTAACTGGTTAACTGAAGTGCCAGTCCTGGTATCCGGGTTATAACTTGTTCCTTGGGTTATTTCAAATAACTTACTGTTTCTGTCAGTCATAACTTTTATCATCACCTTTGCAGTTACAGAGGTTCTTGGCTAACCTGGATAGGGTGCAAACCTAAATTAAATGTCTTTCTACTAGTGCAAGGGTCCCACTTTTGCTTTTATTGGAATACTGAACATCATGCACTTTCAATAGACTTAGATGCATAGTATCAGTAAGTAAATGGTATTTGTGCAGCCTTTAACGTTGTTGTTGTTTTAAAACTTCTTTTTCTTTCCCTAAAACAATGCTAAAGCTACATGAAATACAATGATAGCTTCTCAAGTAACTACATTGTCCTACGGGTCTGATGACTGGGGTTGCTTTGTTTTGTTCTTAGGGAGGGTGAGTGGTTATTTTTTTAGTTTAATTTTTTTTATTTTTTAAACTAACTACTAAGGTAAGAAGAATTCTTATATACCAACCACTTTGGAAATTACTACAAAGTTTACTTGTATATGTGATTACTTGTTTTCTGTTGTCTTGGGTTTTTTTTTTTTTTGTTCCAACTGTAGTAATAGCCGTAATCTACTGTTTCCAACTTTCACATTTAATCTGCTTCTTCAATAGTCATAGAAAGATTCAGTGAAAAAAAAAAAAGCATGTGATGATACCTATTTATAATGAATAGTATCTGAAAAATCAGTGTTTCATTTTTATAAATGACAAAAAAATCAGTTATATTTACCTGGTGTCATTTATAGGTTATAGACAGGAATAAATATGACTTGTGGCTCCTACCTCAAGAGATGAACCAATGTTGGCTGCCCCTATGCATCTGTCATCTGTTAAATGACAACAGGGCAACACTGTGACTGTTGAGCAAAATGATCTTGATCGCTTTGGTAGAACACTAGTCTGTACTGTGGGAATCAAGTGCTATTTCAGGAAGACAATGTTCTTACAATAGATTTTGGTTACCTGTAGACTTTCATTCTTCGGGTTTTATGGGGTTTTTTGAGAAGTAATCTAATGGGGAAAACGGATTGTACCATGTGAATGTGGAGTGCTGATTTAAAGCAAATTGTTTGGCAAGCTGAAGTACCTTCATTGACAAGAACTCTATCGAGATTATGAATGTGTTGCTGTATATGACATTTTTATCCCTTTGAAATTTTCAGATGGGGAGGCAGTTCATCTCACTTTTACTTACTGTTTTAAATTAAAAGTCAATTTTTGTCAGATGTGAACTGTTGTGAAAAATGTCCATGGGAACAAAACGGTGTGTTGAATTTAGTGTAGTCTACGTCCCTCAAAGGAACATTGATTGTCTTTGAGACAGTTTTGCCAAGCTAAAGATGGGTGGCAGCAAAGGTCAAAACTACTTAGCCTTAAAGTGTTTCTGTCATTGCAAAAATACCTTTAACAGAAACATACTTGGAACACTTCCCCTTTCAAATGTAATGTAGAATTGCTGCTTTGAAAAAATCAAAGATGAGTCTTATCCTGAGCAAATGAATACTGTAAATATACTTGTCATACCTTGAATAAATGGGTACCTTTTTCTATAATTTGTCTGTCTTTTTTTTCCTAGATATTTTAAGAATGTTTTAATAAGTGTCCCCTCCAGCAAATAGGGAGGTCGTGCATTTACTGCTTTGCTCTTTTGCACTTTTCTCACTCTTGTAGTCAATAACATGTTACACTAGTCTTAAATGGCAAGGTTACCTGTTACGATGAGCATTGTTTTGCACAGTACCACCCTTTACCTTTTGTATGCATCTGTACACGATAAGGTGCCTTCTTCATTCAAGAAGCAAACATCTTCATGCAGAGCTGCCTGTTGAAAGGGTGTTTTCAGATAAGCTTTACGTTTTTTACCTTGCTTGGCTTTGTTTCTGATCTTGCTATATGACCCTAGGCAGCTTCAGCTTCAGTCCTTTGGTCAGAAACTGTTTAACAGGACAAAAGCTGGGAATGCAGTCTTGTTCTCACCTGGGTATTCGGATTCTAACTTCAAACAAAACTTGGAGATTATGGTAGATAAGAAATGGTTTCTTGGTTAAACACTTTCTCCCCTGTGCTCTCTTTCAGGGGCTCTTTCACACTTGTGGAGAGGCAGTAGCTCTAAAACTCTAGGAGAAAATAAGTTCTAGAAATTTAGAAATTAGGGTGGGTTGTGGTCCCTGTGCTTTCAGTGTAGTTCAGGGATAGGGAGGTGACTTCCGTGTCCTAGAGTGTGGCCTGATAAGCAGGCTCACTAGTGTGTAGTGATCAAGCTTGTCCCCGCCCCCCCCCCCAAGGAAAACAAAAACAAAGCGGCAATTTTACTTTGTTGTCATTTATTAGCCCTGTGTACTAGTTAATGCCCTTCAAAACCTATTTTGATTGAAGACACAACTTTATTTTGACAGACTCCCAACTAATTTTGCCAAAGCTGGTGCTACCCTAAGAGTTCCAAAGAGTTAGTACTTTCTAGTTTAAAAGGAAAACAAAATTATCTAGCTATAACTGGTTATATTTGTTGTGAGAAGTATAATGCAAATTGGTGTATAGTTTATGGCCAGCTACCTTCAGTGAGTGGTTGTTGCATCAACCAACAATACTTTGACATTGTTGTGCTCCCATGTTCATTTCTTTTGACTGTTACTTCTGTCCTTCAGATTGCCAATACTAAAATGCCATACCCAAATTTACTTACCCAGCACAGCTTGGCCTCTGTGGCCCTGCTTTGTCTGAACATTCGCCCCTCTATTGTCGGCCTTAGTGAACATCTTTCTAAAAGCATCTTTTTTGCATCTCATTCTTAGTCCAAAAAAGAGGTTCTCCAGCTGCAGTCAAGCTTAATTTCAGCACATTTATTATATACTAAAGAATATTAAATACATAAAAAAATGCAGAAATGACTAACTAGGAGCAATATAGGAGGGTATTTATTATTTCAAACTGACTTGCTGTTATCATTTACTATTTGAGCTATTTATCAAAGCTTGTTTGCACCTGTCATTAAGGCATATAATTTTTCTGCGGAAGTAATGCAGTGTGTATTTGGAGATATATTTGCTGAAAAACATTTGCTTTCCTGTGTACTTCCAGGAGATAACCCCGTGGTTATCTCGGTGATCCCATGACTCAATGACCCATTTAACCCAGTGACCTTAAGGCAGGCTTGAAAGAGTCGGATAGTGGCTGTGAGAGACGCTCGAGGGGCATAAGGGTTAAACAGAATAGGTTGCTGAAGGGTTTGCACACAAGCTGCATGGGGAGCCCCAGGAGCTATGAGGAGAAGAGGCTCAGGTGTGACTCAACCCCTTGTTCCCTTTAACTTTCTTTTAAATTCACTAGAATTACATCCTTGCCTCAGCTGTGCTGTCCTACCTAAAGCACCCACCTAAACATTGTTGATGAAAGGACAGGTGCCTGCCTGGCCACAGGGAGAATTTGGTAGCAGTAGCCCTGCTGCCTTGTGCTCTGCCAGGCACTGATTCCTTGCCGGATCTTCCACAGTTTTCCTTACTCCACCGAACCCCCAAGTGATAGCACTGTGGCAGCCGTGTCACCAAGCTTGGACAAGGTCGGAAATGCCTTTCGGGTATTAGCCTAACTCAACAGCTAGGGTATATGAGCATGTAAATCACAGTGAATGTGCCTCTCTCTTTATATATTTTTCTCCAGAGTCCTAAATCCAACAGCCGTGATGACAGCCGCCCCCAGGGGCTGTCACATGCCAGTTCCTCAGATTTATAGTGGGTAGTACCTGAAGTTGGCTCTTTCCCATGTGTGTTGGGTTCAATGCCTTCACTGCTGCCCGGGTACAGCGTGAGGGTGGAGGGCAGCAGTGTCACAGCTCTGCTCAGCGTGTTCATCATGTCACAGTTCCCAGGGCAGGAGTTTCCCAGAGGGGACACAGACTAGGACACTTTCCCCATCATTTTCAAGGTAGTATTTCACAGCCTTTTCAAGGTGGTTGCCTCTATTGCTCCATCACGATCCTGCCGCTTTGATGTATTCAAATCACAAGTTGTGATCCCTTGTACATTGGCTCCACTGGTCCAGTGAGCTACTGCTCTGCCACCCCCTTCCCCCTCATGCCCTGACTCTGAGCTGGGTCCTCAAGGTCCCAGGTGTTTCCATCCCCAGTTTACAGATCGCAATCTGCTTCTTACACCAGTGCCCTCACAGCCAGGGGATGGACCTCTCATTTGACCCCCTTGTCACCACTAGCAGTTTGCAATGTGGGTGGCCATCACAGCACATCAGTGTTCCAGGTTCTTGGCTCAATCCACAGCATGGCTGCAGTCATGACCTCCAGCCACCTTAGCAGCTTCAAGATGACACTCCAGCTGCCTAATTCACTGGCACTGTGTCAGCAACACCTTGCCCTGAGTGCAGGACACAACTAGGTAGCTGCTTGCTCTCCCCCTTGTCCTTTCACATCCTAAAGAGGCATCTCTGCACTGAAATACTGCCAGCTACACCAACTGTGACCTCAAGCAGGGCAGGAGAGAGTTGGATAGTGGCAGAAACACTCAAGATTCATAAGGGATTAAACAAGAGAAGTTTAATAAAGAACATACAAACACATGCATGGGGAGCCCCAGAAACTGCGAGAAAGGGTCACCAACGGGAGGCTGCTGGAGGCCTAGGTTGGAGACCCAGGCAGGACTCGACCCATCTGTGAGGGCCCCTTAAATCTACTGCAACTGTTCTCCTTATCTCAGCCTTGCTAACCTTGAGGAACTACAGCCCAGGAAGCAGCTAGACACTGTTGACAAAACAGAACGTGCCTGCCTGGCCCTGCCGGGAATTTGGTTGGTGTGCAGTTTCACAAGCTGGACCTGCTACCACGTACTCTGCCAGCGGTCACCAACTCCGCGCCCCATCTTCCACCCGTGTCCTCACTACACCCATCTTCCCGTGGGGCGGTTCTCCTTTGCTGGGAATTAACACTTCTCCCATAAAAATGTATAGGTCCAAAGACTCTTTGGTGCAGATGCTGCTAACAGCTCATCAAGCTACTGCAGCTGGGCTCCCCCCTGAGGTAGCAAACGCTGGAATTTCTTTCCTTCTGATGAAAGAAAAGGGCGACAACGTTTTCCTACCGCTCGTGAGGAGCAGCAGCAGCAGCAGCAGCGGGACCCGCGCGGCCCGCAGGCGGCGCCACTTGCAGCGCCCCAGCCACCTGCTCGGGGCGGAAGGTGCCCCTCGCTTCCCTTAAAAACGCTAAAAACGCTGCAGTTTGCAGTCCTAGATTTTTTAAAAATATATTTTTATTTATTTTAATTTTATTTTTTAATTTTAATTTTATTTATTTAATTCATTATTTATTTTTAAGTTGAAGGTAAGGTTTTTGGCCAGTTTTCTGGAATCTATTTTGGTTTTATTTATGCTCGGGAACGGCAGCGTAGCTTCTAAACGCAAAGTGCACAGAGAGCTTTTCACAGGGAGCCGTTTGCTCGGAAATGCTCTGAGCCAGCCTGTCTCCCAGCTGGCAGGGTCTGAAGCAGTCTAGTTAAAACGTGGAGCCTGGCGAAGCCGGCTTTCCATCTGGGACAATGCCGGTTGCAGCACTTTCTCCTTAGCTGTTCCAAAGCTCTTCCAGTAAAATCTGAAAAAATAAGATTTATGTTTCCACTGCTTTAAAATGAAAGGCATTCTGGACACAAGGTTATTATGAAAACAAAACAAAACAGAAGTTATGCTTTATTTTCCTATTGCTATTTACTTTCCTATTGAAATCAAACGCATTTCAGCGCTTAAGTCTTCCAGATGTCTGGAATAAATGACTTTTATTAGTCATTCAACTTATACAGAGAATTATTAATTGAAATTGTTATCATCCCCCCACCCCAAAAAAGTCTGAAATGGTAAATGCCAGGCATACAACACCCCATTTTTATCTCACTTTTCTTCCATTTTTTAAGTACAGATGAGCAGAGTGCAGGAAGAAAGGGCTTGGCAGTGCCCGTTTTGGTGCCCCGGAAAGGGTATGAGGCAGCAGCAGGGCGCTCCACTGCAGACCTGCTCCATGAAGGAGGACATTTTCTTGTGGAAAACTCGCGACACGAGAGGGAGAGCCGAGCTGATGTGAGGCACGCGGCCTCTGCCGTGTCCCTGTGCCCCATTTCCCCCTTCCTCATGGTGGTGATTCCCAGCTCCGTTGTCCCAGCTCTAGCAGTCCGTGAGGTGGCTCAGAACCTTCCAGAAGGCGAGGTCCCTTGGGCCAAGGCAGTGGGGGGGCAGCTCGGAACCTTCCGGAAGGCGCAGATCATTGGGAAGAGCCGTTGCTGCCATTGGAGCCAGGGTGCGGGGAGCAGCGCGGAGGAGATGTTGGGAACAAACCTTGGGAACAAGCTCGCGTCCTGGTTCATTTTCAGAACATGGTGGGTCTTCTATGGTTATTGTTTTGGGTGGCACATTCATCCACGGGCTTGTTTCGGGAGAACATGTAAAATGTCTTTTCAGGAGTAGGAATGGGGCAGTGGGAGAAGATGTATTTATCCACAGTTCCACAACCCTTTTCCCCTTTCCCAACAGTTCTTACAACCCTTTTCCTTTTAGCCTTTTCTATGTGTTTCCATGTTTGTCAGGTGTTTTGTTGCTGCCTTCTCCTTTTTTTTTTTT